AGGTTTCACAGAAGCAAGGACAAGGCCCAAGACCCCGCGACAGCTCGCTTTTAAAGGGCGACTCTCTTTGTTTATGATGAAGCACCACTTAGTATAACTCTATAATTTCGACCCTCTTTACCTCCATCTATTTGAAACGCTTTGAAGGCAAGATATGTATTCAGACATTAGTTTCATCTTCTAATGATTTTCTTTATGGACCAGTATATGAGATGAGAGATTTGTATTCAATATCCATAGCCCATTGGGTTCTTTGCTCTAAAGCTAAGAATGAAAAGAAACATTTGTGCAGTAACTGAACGCTCAACTCAAATGGTGACAATTTGATTAGCACTCGGACCAGTGAATTCAGTCGTAGTGTCCTCAGGCAAGACACTTCATTCTATGTAGTACTGTGGAACTTGAGTGATTGATGGATGGTCAGCAAAGGGCCAGTGGCAGAGATTGGCGGTCTCACTTTCATCAGTGTACTCCAGAGGCAGCTGTGGCTAACAACAACAACAGTTGAACTATTATTATAATGTAATATTTTACTATCCCGTCAAGCAGCGACTGAGCAGACTACTCAAGCAACATACCTCATTTAGTAAATCAATTATTGTTTTAAAAGCATTGCATGATACTACGCAGCTAGTATTAAGAACACAATATCAAGGAAATAAATGCAAAAAATTGCCATTGAGTTAAATAACTAAATTCATTAGTATTTTTTTTAGTTTTTGAGTTAACTGAGTTTAGTTAGTTTTTGAGTTGAATAACTAAATTCATTAGTTTTTTTTAACGGAAAAAAACATTACATAGTAGATACACAACAGATGATTTTTTTCATCCTGATCCGCCATTTGAGAACCACTGCTTTAGAATAAATCTTAATGTGTTTTCTTCGGGTTATTTATTGTTATGTTATTAAACAGTCAATTTATTTGACGTACAATGTGAAACTACTATTTGACAGACACATAACATGCAAATGAGATATATCAAGTGTTTATTTGTGATTATTGATAATTGGCTCTCAACTGGTAGAAACCCCTAATAAAATGTCTCAAGAAAATAGCATATTTTAAAAATGGATTTATAAGCCATATCAAAAAGATATAGGCTTGATATACACTTTGCATGTACTATATCGTATATTGGTTTCCCATTGTAAATTCAGTCACGGAAATAAAATCACTTTTGAACAATAAGTTTCACTAGGGTTCAAATGGGTTCTTTTGCATAAAATTGCATAAAATTGTGAGAAGGACCTATTGACCCATAATCCCATTTGCCATTATCTAAATTACAAAAGACAGCGTAAATATTGTGACACAAACATGATATTATATGTAATCTTATAGTATATTAAGTAACCAAATTGCACAGTCATTGTCCATTCATCACTCAATATGTATTGTCAGAGTACACAAAACCGTATTGTCTTCGCGGCTTTATCCTCAACCCCTCCCAAACATTTGATCAGATTATGCAATGTCAAAGTTTCAACCCCATGAGCAAGACTTCAATCAGAATGAAGATTGAAGTCCTGAAAAGCAAGTGTAGGTTGACATCTTTAATATTCAGGCCTATTCACTGCTCCAGATTGCTCTTTTTACTTCCTTAATGATGGCAATACATCACAGAGCTGGCCGGAGACGGAGATGTTGTAGCGTTAAGAGTGAAGTTTTGGCTGCGAGATGTTAGATTTATGCTGGGTAGTGCAGTGTGAAAGGCACTCGAGGAGGTCTGATGGCCAGAGGTCGGCGGCATAAAACCAGCAGCTGACAACCATGATAAGATTAAATATATGAATCCTTTCAACAATGCATGTGGTTCTGGCCCTAAAACATCTAAACTGCTCATTCTGATGAAACGGGAGAGGTTCTTTGTCAGAGTGGGGTTTAGAAGTCATATCTCTATCCATTTGGAGCAGCTTACTTGAACTCAGAATGAAATTGTTTACTAAATTTAAAGCTGGCGCGTTTAACTAAAATAAACTATGTAATAAAGTCCATGTAACTAGTTCCTTGCTCATTTAAACCGTTTGGTTTGATCGCTGTACATCATGTTGTGGGCTGATTTGTTACTTAAACAAGACTATTTCGTTTTGGACTCAAAAAGTTTGGTGCTCCAGCTTTAGGAGTATGACAATCTTCAGTAAATGAAATTCAACAATAAGCCAAGCATTGTGGGCAAAAATGTAGTCGGAACAGTATCAAACTGTAATTGCCCTGTTAAGGAATCTGCACACTCCAAAAGACATCCAGCCCTTCTCTTCCCTGAGTAAAAATGCAAAGATAATTACATCAAGGATTAACGATAAAGTCATATTTGAACATTTTGGGGCAAATATCTCTATCCAAAAATGCACAATACAGTAAAACCTAACATGTTTCATGAATGGAAGGCTTTGTAAAACAGCACCAACATTCCTTTTTTACTTTCCAATTAAAAAGTTGAGAAGTACTTAGTGGCACACACATCTATGCAGCACACAGGCTGATCATGTGAAAGTGTCAAAGGTCTTGAGGGGTTGTCACTTTGAACAATAGAAGTTGAGAGTGGAACAAGGTCGACCTGAAACCTGATGATAATTGGCCCCACAGACACACTGCGCATTTGAGATTTTCTGATTAGGTTAGGCATTAAAATAATAACATATATTTATTTTATTAGTGAGCAGTTGATATTTTTATGTTTTTGTTAATTAAGCTGGGGTTTTTTTCTGTTAAAAAGGAATGTATAAGTTGGGTCAAACTTGGCTCAGTGCTGGGAATGAAAACCGCTCCACTGCTACACATTACGTCTTGTTAAACAAAAACAAAAAATATATTCATTTTTTGCTGAGGTAACTAAAATTTCCCATCCATAAAAACGTTTTACAATAGGACCAGAACATGCTCTTTGTGTTATTGCTAAACATGCATACAGAGCCTTGTGAGTCATTATTTTATGCATTGAGCTGAGAGCTGACCAGCTGAGTGGGGGTGGTTCTCTCGTTTTCAATTTTCTGTCTGTAAAATGCAAAATATATATGCAAGTGAAAACTGCTTTGAGAACGAGATTGATTGTATTACACAGCCTTAAATGTTGTTGTGATTTGAAAGACAAGTAATCCAAATCTTCCATGTTTCCTTCAGGCAAAAAATAAAATCACCTTAGAAACACCCCTATCAAAATGTAATTCATATTTTGTAACATTTTCCTGATTGCAGACCGATCAATGTTGTAAACTCGGACCACAATGAAAAGCAGCATAAATATGAGTTGAGATTTCCGAGTTCATCCCAAGCAGTCGCCTTTGACCTGCCGCCCTCTGCATCTCTAGTTCACACATTAATATATACAGTCTATGGTTCACACACAGCGCTTGTGGAGAATGTTTGGGGACTTCCCTGAAAACGTGCTTGCTGTCACTGTCCTGAAGCTGACCCACTTGTCCACACCCCTCTTTGCTTCTTGCTCCCCCTCTTTTTCTCTCTGTACTTTGCTAATTTGGAATTTAAGAAACATAATGTGCCATCCTGAATGGACACCGGTGACACTAAACCCCATCCGGAGCAGTAATACGAAGCCGCTTTTGTGATTTGACCTGAAAAAACAGGTAAAGTCTTGGGCTTCTTGCTGACTTTGTGAAATGCTACGCTCTGTACAGTAACATTTCCACTCAGCGCTCGAGTTAAAGGACATTAGAGTCACTGTTGCCGTTTTAGCAAACACTTTTGGGGCTACATTTGCAACAAACCACAACTAAGCCCACAGAGTAAGCAATGTTGGTGGGAGCGGAAACAAGCCGCAAACCGCCAAGTAAGTTGAATATTTTAATGATTTAAGGGCTATCTCCTCAGGTTTATGTACGATACGCCCTGACAGTAGTCAATTATTATGGATAAAATTGTAGCAATTCATTTTTATTCATTTTAGCTGTTTAGCATCACAGGATCTCACACAACTAAATATGAAAGGTTCATTTAAGCAGTGACTATGGCCCAAACAATGAAGTCACAAGCATGACTCACTAACATTCACTGGCATACACAACTATTACATTAATACATTTTGGCAACGGATAGGCACCAATTCACAAAAGTACTTCATTATGAACTAAATGACATGTAAAAGCACACAAATCCAAAGCTTCATCTATGCCACACAATGGAGCTGGAGTATTGCCTGATTAATTACGACTCACAGAGGAGACTAACAGTCTGTCAATCAAAGTCTTTGAAAGTTGAAGTCACATATTAAGCCTGAAAAACATATTGAAAAACAGGGACGGTGAAGTGCTTGAATAATTTACTTTAATTAGTAAAACAATGGTCTTCAACATAAGTTAATAAATTAAAGCTTTTTGAAGCACAACAGTCCAAGCAAGACAACACAAGTAAAGCAAACCTTTGAGTCCCAGTCTGTAAAGAGGTCATCAGTCTCTGTTTATGAAAAATACAAGAGTAATGAGAGACACATCCGTAAAACCACTCTGAGCAGCACAGAAATAATTAATCAGGTGTCTGTTGACTGGACATGAAGTTATGATCGCCTGACATAATGAGTTTGACTTCTCCAGAACAACACTGGAGCGAGCAAAGCCTCAGCCCCAAAAGCACTCTGGAGACGACTGACAGCACGTTACCTCTGCACAAACATGATGCATGTTGCTGCTATAGCTCTGCCATGAAAACCACAGAACATGAAGTCATCAGTAATGTCACTATTATTGTTGTGTTGTTGAACTGAAGGACTCTGTTTGTGATGCTTTTGACAAACGCAGCATCAGAGGATTATTTGTCCCCGGGCGTGTACCTCCTGATCCTAGGGAAGAAACCTCAGCTACATCCCAACACCCTCCCCTTGTTTCACATTGAGCGGAGTGAAGGGGAGTTCCCACTTTAAAGCTAGGGTTTGCCTCCTCACCGTGCATGCTGACTGCTACTCCAACATAGGACTGTCCCCGTTCAGAAAGCCAGAGCAGCCGCAGGAGCTTGGACTCTTATCAGTGATGAGTCAGTAGGTCTGAGTCACTTCTTGTTTAGGCTGACTGACTCTATGTTGTTGGCTCCTGGATGTAGTTTATGGCAGCCCAGCAGTATGGCAAAAGCCTTGCGGAAGTCAGCGTTGAAGGCATATATGATGGGGTTGAGAGAGGAGTTGGCCCAGCCAAACCACACAAACACATCGAAGGTGGTGGGGCTGATGCAGGGGAACGCCTCCACTCCTTCGCTTGACTTCTCACAGAAGGGCACCATGCAGTTCAGGATAAAAAACGGTAGCCAGCAGCACACAAACACTCCCATAATGACTGAGAGGGTTTTTAGCACTTTGGTCTCCTTTTTAAAAGTCACTTTAAAGGAGCTCTCAGATTCTGTGATGCTGGAGCCACGACCCATGCTGTCATGCCGGTTTTTGGCACTTTCTGCGGCTCTCTCCAGTGCCGAAATCCTCCGTATCTGCCTGTGTGCAATACGATAGATTTGGGTGTATGTGATGATCATGATTATGACAGGAATATAAAAGCTAATTAGCGAGGTGGAGATGGCATAGGTCCTGTTTAGGCTCGAGTCACAGTTTTCTGGGGCTTGGACAGAAGTACCATTTGAAAGAGAGGTGTAGGATTGAGTCTGGGCCTTGTGCCAGTTCAGTTGTACTGGGATGAAGGAAATTAGAACAGACAGTGTCCAGGCAACGCTGATCATTACATAGGCCACTTTCGGTGTCATCTTCCTCTCGTAGCGGAAGGGACTGGAAATGGCCCAATAGCGGTCAAGACTAATCACGCACAAGTTCAAAATGGACGCCGTGGAGCACATAATGTCAAAAGCCACCCAGGTGTCACAGAACGAGCCGAAGGGCCAAAACCCGGCAATCTCCGCCACGGCTTTCCAGGGCATCACCAGAATGGCCACGAGCAGGTCAGACACGGCCAGAGAGATCACAAAGTAGTTGGTGACTTTGGTGCGCAAGTGACGGAACTTTGTAACGGCGGCACAGACCAAGGTGTTACCCAGCAAAGTGGTGAGGATGAGCAAGGACAAAAAACATCCGGTTAAAACTCTGCTTGGAGGCGCCTCGTCCAGAAAGCCGCTGTCAATGACTGTGGTGTAGTTCTGGACATCCATCATAAGTGGCTTTGTGGGTGCAGCTCACAGGGGCCACATCACATCAGAGCGGCAGAAGCAGGAGCACATTTTCTCCTGTCGTCTCCGCCTGTTCGCACTCCATCGCTGTCTCTCATGACATTGTTAGAGCCAATGGGAGAATCCACATTTTGACTTTATCTTTGGGGACTCTTCTCTTCATTTCCAGGACGCAGACATGCCTCTGTGTTGTGGCCGCACATGGGATTTTTCTGCGTGATGTCAGGGATCCTCCTTTTAAATCATCCCAGCCCTGTAGGGAGCAAACAAATCAATTACTTATCACTGTCTCCTTCTGTGTTTGGTCAGAAGATAATGTCAAAATTAGAGGGGTTATAATATGTATTGGTTTGATAACTTTACAGAAATAATAACACAAAGCACACTATTAAATGAATAGATAGATGTATAGTACTTTAGGAAATTAAAATGTGTCTGCGTGCGCCACATTAGTCACACATGCAATCAAGAAAAACAATACATATATTAGTATTTAAAAGTAAGAAACAATAAGATAATTCAGACTTTGAATCATGTGTGCAAATCTTGTCTTACCTAAACAATAACAAAATCTAAGTTGTATATGTAAACATGCCATCAATCTTTCAGTATGTGACTTGGTTTGTGAAATCAAACTTTCTGGATGATGAAAGTTAATTATATATATTTCACTTATAAGATATATACAATCCAAAACCTAACAGAGATTTCAAAGACAACATGTATGACTTGATTTTCCTTCTAACACGGACACGTGTGATTGTTTTGAATATTCTGACCTGAATAACTGAATAATCACGGATATAGACCAATGTGGATCGACTTTGGAAAGCGCAGTTCAAACACGTGCATTCTCCCACCAGCTCAACATGTATTTTTAATTATGTATCATACAATTTCAAATCATTGTTGTGTTGTTATTTTTTTACTCACCTCAGAGTCTTGTTGTGATGATAGACAACAAGTCCTGGCACTGCATTCAAATAGAACTCCATCGCGTAAAGTCCAAGCCAAGGGCATCCACCGCGCACTGCCTCAAAGAGCTCAACATCAGAAACAAATGAAAAAGCAACGTGACGTGACGGCTCAACTGTTGTGCGTGAACAGAGCCCCAGTGCGTCTGTGTCAGCGCTCCTCAGCCTGCGCGCTTCACCATCTCCCATTCACCAAAGTGAGGAGGCTCCCAACACGTGAGCGCACTGGTCTGATGACGCTCCAAACCATTCCGGGCCAGCCGCGGACGCTCTCATCCATTACGCGGACATTTTTACTACACACATTGAACTTGTCCGTCGCCTTTCTGTCATCTGAGTTCACTCTCGATCTGTTTTAATTAAGCAGAGAAGCAGGTTACGACCATGGTCACGGTTGTGTGTTACTAGGGCCATCTAACGGACAGAGATGGGCGTTGCACTAATGTATAAAAGTCTGCCTGTCAGGTCACCTATAAAACATTCATGCACTTTTATTACCTAAAATTACTTTCCCTTAATCTATTTTTCTATTTGATGAAGAACCTATAGGCTAGTATAGAAGAATATTTATGTGGTATTATATTACCACAGGAAGTATTGTATATCTTACAGCTTACACAATTAAACATATCATTGTATTTCGACGACAATTATAATAATTAGATGAGCGACATATGTTTCCATCCTGGTAATATTTGATCACATAATATAAATGTGTGTAAATCCCTATGTTAATCCCTATTCTCCTCTCATGTAGAGACCAAAGTCACCTTGAACTATAGTCTCGCCCATAAATCACGGAGGTCGTAAAAATAAAATCGCTGTAATATCTGTAATATTATCTCAGCAGCATATATTACCCCCAGTCGCTTTTTCGTCTCAAGCTGCTTTAAAATCATTGGACGCACATTAGTGACACACCATCTGTCAGACATGTAGACAAACAAGACATAGTTTGGGTAAAAATAGCATCATATAAGCCCGCATACAAGGAGAGACAAATAGAGAAACATAATGTTTAAGGCACCTGAGAAAAGGGAACTAGATTATGGAGATTGCTGTGTGGTATTCACAGTTTCATGATGTGGGGGGGTTTTTTTATAACTGATGATGACGTAAGATGCTCATTCATACAAGAGGGATTTACTTAACTCTTTTCAAATACTTAATTTACTAATTGAGAGGCTTTTGGGTATTCCATTCTTGTGTTTATAGGCTGGAATTTGATTCTTGTCATGTATATTTCAAAGCAAAGGATTAATATTAAAATAAATGAAATTTGAATAATTGAATTCCTTGTACAGTACTGAGAAATACATGTTCAGGAACCGATGTCAAAGCCTGAATGTAAACCAGGAACTAAATGACAATGACAACCAATTCTGAAAATGATTAGAATGATGAGTGAAGTAAGTCCCCTGCAGTGGACCACTCTGTGGTTGTTGGTGTATACTGCTCTTTATTTAACCAGATTGTCCTGGTCAGAGGGATAAGCCTTTCAGAATGTCTTTTTCGGATGAAAAAGTGGCATCCAGAGCATCTGGAGGAAACTGACACAGGCTCAAAGACACTCAAAAGGCCATGCACTGCTCAGCCACCCTTTAGTTGCCGGGTATTGATACCCGCAAATGTGGCTCCAGATTTCCACCCATGAAACCTCTTTGAGCTTTAGCTCTAATTGGTTTCTTCTGAACACTATGGGTGACGTCAGTCCGTGACAAGGCTTTTGATTTCCCAGCGCTCCTAGATTCCTAAAATCAAATTGGTCCACTCTCCAAGTTCAAAAGATATTAAAAGCAAAACAGCTTTACCCTCGACTTAACATCATGGGGTAACACTCTGGAGGCATGCAGTTTTCTTTTATCTTTGCTCTCTAACTTTACTCACTCCTCCACCTTCCGGGTTGAGTAAGTAGGTCTGTTTGTGCTGGGTGGATCTGCATGAGTTGACATGTCAGACGCGTCATGAGCCACGAAACCTTGCAGCGCCTCAAAAAGGTGCTCTTGTGTTCATTTTAAGAACTGTGGATAAAACTAAGGAAATATTTGTGTACTCAACAAATAAACACATGTTCACAGCATCATATACATCATGTACAGTTCCACTTGTTTATTTGATCATGATCTGTGCATTGAACAAAGCAGTAATATTCACGTCCTCTATAATGATTATCGGACTGTAATGTGATTCCCACATGAGGTCTACATATTGCTGACATCCGGCTCAGTCGCCTTTTAAGTTAACATGGACAGAAATCTATCCGGGATGCACCGAGCTCAGATCAACACAGGTCGAAAACTATCGAATGACGGCAAAGTCAAACTGTCCCAGTGAGAGACAGCTGCCAGGCCTACAGATGTTTGGCTTGGAGATGCAGATATGTGACGATTTTCAGCTTCTGGTCAGTCTTTGTGGGTCTGAACCATGTGTGTTTTGTTGGAAGCTGAGCAATGTAATACTCACTAAATGAATGTACTGTACATCTGAGTAATGCATTCAAATTAAATGAACCCTTTAGGTCAAAGTAGCACATTTTTAAAAGCTGCTGATCCTTGTCACTTTCTATACCGTGACCTTTCAACCCACAAACGTTTCTTTTTATTCACTATGATTTTAATCGTCCTCTATCTCTTCAGTAGTTTCAGTACTTCACCTGTCTAAAAAAAAAACCCGACAAATAATAATTTTTTCAAGTCGTCCATCTCTGTTGACAGAAGGACTATTGGATTTCATTAGTGTTCGCTTCATCCAAACCCTTTTTATTAAACACAGATTTGATTGATTGATTAGTGTTATAATATCTATATCTAATGTCAAAATAGACATCCGGAGCCATTTTTTAATGTTTTACTACAGTTAAAAGCCTAATCAAAAACCCTTTCAATGACACACTCTGGTATAAAGAGATATTCAGGAAGTATGTTTTGTCTTCTGACCATTTCAATTATGCAGACCTGATTCTTTTCTTTCTGTTGGTTTATATGATAGAGCTCTTCTATCATATAAGACTCCCTCAAAGTCTGCAATGCTATTTATAAAAGTATATAACTGTTCACAATCAGAGACAGTCATTATATGTTGAGAGAAAAACCAAAATATAGAGCTAATGTATGATGTTAATCTGTTAGTGGAGTTCATCTTTGGAATGTGCAGGATTAAGTCATGCAACTCACTTTACCACTTTAAAAGGATGTTTAAAACCATGATTTTGGATGGCTCCCTGAACTCAGATTTTTTATGTTGATGTAGTTGCTCATTTAAATGCTATTGTTTACATTCACTTACACTAATGACACTTGTTTAAAAGGGTTGGCAAAATAAGCCTTAGCTTCGGCCGACTCTTTTTTGGTCTTTCTTTCTGCGGTAAATATCGTCCCACGTGGGGAAATTTATGACGCTGTACCTTTTCCCCACTTGGTCAGATATGAAATCCCCCAAACAAAATTACTCACATAAACAATTTTGCAGTGTATAATAGCAAAGCATTGTAATAAATAAATGAATAAATATTTATTGAAAGACATAAATAATATTGTAAACATAAATATTGTAAACATAAATATTGTAAAGTAAATACAAATAAGTGATAAATATTACGTTGTATAAATATATTAAAATCTTCTCATGATTAAAGTTGTTTGTTCAGATTTTTCAAGTATAATAAATACTGGGCGAAAGGAGTCATTGAAGTCGGCTTAAGCTTGTTGGTGGAGCAGATCTGGGTTTCTTCTGTGCATCTCTCACTGACCTACAACATGAAAGAGAGGTAGTTTTCCGGTTAATAGTTTGTAATCACATAGCATCACAACGTTGTAAAAGTTCTATAGTTTAGTTTTGACCAGAGTTTCACATTCACGGGATGGAATCAACTGTGTACTGTGATGTAGATTTGTCAAGGAGTTTCATATGTTTGTATCGGCTGTGTGCATTCAGAAAAAATAAATGTAATGTAATTAATAAACCTAAGCAAAAAAAAAAAATCCACAAAATATTCAGAAAGTGGTGTCATTATACAAAGTTTAAGTAGTAATATGTAAGATTTTCATGTCAAGTCATCTTTAAATGGCTCTAATCCGTCAAAAGGCATTAATAAGCCATGCTCTTTTCCAATACATATTTAACCGATAACATTAGTTCAGCCGAGGTATTCCAATTTCAAAAAGTAGTTTTACAGCCCCTAAATCTTGTTATTGTTTTCATTTCCATGTTCAGCCCTCCACCGTTTTACCAATTCAAAAGTCTGTGATCCGGTTTGCCAGAGCTCACTGCTTTGAGCTAATCTCACTGGTAAAGTAAGATATCAGGCTGTACTAAAAAAGGTCTCGTTAGGATTCTATTGACATTAGGATCGTCGTTAGGATCATTAATGACAAAACAAGGAACAATACAAGATTTCTATTGGGGCCGTTGTGAAAAAGGTTTTGGTTATAGATTTGTTATATCTGGCAATCCGAGTCAGGGAGAGTGGGAGAGGTTGCAGTACCACTTTTGGCCATATTTTTACATACTGCTCCTTTAAGACATAAATGGACATACATTCATGGAAAACACATATTTAGAAGGCTTAACATTTATGTATGGGAAATACTTTTGTATTCAGACAACTGAGTGTGATGTCATAGTGATAAAATGACATCATACTATTACCAGACTGAGACAGGAGCTTTTAGACAGAAGGGACGAAGTTAGCTTTCTGATATTAGCATGGATGGATCTAAAAAACAGCTTCAGCTCTGTTTTTGATGAGTAATAATTTAACCTCAAAAAAGTGAATTTAGCATGATATGTCTCCTTTAACTTATTAAGGGGAAAATTTTCAATAGATATAGACAAGATTAACTGTATTGCTCTTACAATGGAAACATTTACAATGGTGGTCCTATTGCGAGTATGAACAAGGTTAGAATGCATGTAAAACAGTTACAGTATATATGAATCATAAAATGTAGCATGTTGTTTTAAATGTCAAAAACCTTTGGGGAGAAATGAGGAAGAGGATGGTGTTTTCTTCAAAATTGGGGATATTTGATGAGCATTGCTTTCTTTTTAAAGGCCCTCATTAAATGATAGATCCAATAAAACATGTTATTTGAGAAAAAGACCTGTTGGGGTAGGGATAGATCGTCGAGTAGGTTTAAGATCTCGACCACGCAGTGCTGCTTCTCCTTCGACACGGTCACACTCTTCAGCATCGTCCTCAGAATGCTTTTAAAAACTGCCACACAGCATTTCTACACACAGAAAGCATGGGTTTTATATAGCGTTTTTTTTGGACACTCAAAGACGCTTCACATGTCGTTATTCATTCACTCCATACACGATGGTGATCATTTACTACTGTAGCCATAGCTGTCCTGGGGAACTGATAGCACACTGATAGAAGCAAGGCAACTAGTATGTGCCGTCAGCCCCTCAGACCACCACCAACCATTCACACACGCACCAGACTCATTCTAGGCACTGTGGGTGAAGTATCTCGCCTAAGGACACAACAGCAGTTTGGTCATTTACAGCCACAGCCGCCCCACTGTGGCACCTAGTGTTCCCAGAGGTCTCCCATCACAGTTCTAACCAGGCCCTGCCCTGCTGTGTCTCAGAAGTATCTAGCACATGTGTGAGTTGTTTTTGTTATAATAATAAACCGATGGAATCATTTGTTTTTTAAATCAATGACTTTTCCCCCCTAGAATATGTATTTTTTTCACTAAACATCATTCCATAATTCTTGAGTAAATGCTACAAACAGTGACATATTTTTTCCATGTAACATTCTCAGTGTGAGGTGTAAGCAGACCAATACTTACTGCATGTTGTTGCATCTGATGTGACGGCACCTTTAGATGAGTCTAAAATAAGAATAATGTTTACATCACAAAGACCTAAAAAGAAGAATCTGAAGAAAGCTTTACAAAAATGTGAAATTAAGTGACTTTGTACTCACCCCAGTGCTGTTAACCGTGGTGACTTTTTTATTGTTCAGCTCCTTCAGTCTGCATAGGATTTGAACGATGGGGGAATTTGTGTCTCGCATCTAGAGCAGAAGAATTGAGCTATTAATGATACAATGATAATAGAAAAAAATGCACAGTATTTCCACAGCACTTTTATGACACCCAAACACTCATAACATGGAATTAGTGGAGGTGAAATGGGTTCAGAAAATTTGCAAACTGGATACGATTCCATTTTGTAAATTAAATAACATCCAGTGATCACAGAAAAATCATATTTATCATTATTAGGCTGTTGGCCTCTGTAATAGTTTTGTTGCAGTGGATTGTCAGACATAATGAGACCAACGCCTTTTTATTTGAGGGGGGGGGGGTTGTCTTATTCTTTGGCCGTAGCTTTACTCACAATTCAAAAAAAGGTGACTATGAATCTGTCATTTACATCATCGTCAAATGAATATTTCACAAGTAATGAATCTGTAAAGCACACACGCCCGCCCACTCAATACGCCCCCTCTCCACCGGACACGCTCATTCAGACTGAGACACGCTCATTCAGACTGAGACACGCTCATTCAGACTGAGCTACAATGAATTTTGTTTATAAATAATGGAAACTGCTGTTTTTTTTCACAAATGATATATGCACTGAATAAAACAACATATACTATATTAAAACAACTAAAGCTAGAATTAGGAATAAAAGAAACTCCCTTTGGAATCAAGGAAAGAAAATAATTGTTGGAAAAAGTGCATTTGTCGTTAAGTTAAGTGGCTATTTTCAAGAAATCTGCCAAGGCAGGTTTTGGTTTTGTTTTTCTTTCTTAAAGGTATATAGAAGGATTTTTTACTTCCGGTTGGATCATCAAGACTATTGGTCCTCCCAATTGTCAATCATACTGATGATATGTACTTGTCAAACAAGACCAGAGAGTTTTGTTCAGAATGTGGAGAGAGCGGTTCTTTCCTAAAATTTGGGGAAACCCTCCTATATACCTTTAAGTTAAAATTAACTTAAAGACCTAGAAATTGATTATTGGGTAGAAAATGGATGGATGGATTATGGAATCATTTGGGGTACTAAAATGAGTAGGCGGGGTACCATAAGCGTTACAGAGAGAGTAGGCGGGGTTCTATAAGCAATACCTAAAAATGGATGAGTGTGACCTACTCATTCATTTTCCAAACTTACGTTTCAGTTCGTTCAATTTTAGCTTAAGTGTGTTTTAAGAGAAATAATGGGTCATTTTGGGTATCATGCCCATGACGTTGTTGGTCATTTCTTTGTTCTTTTTGTATCACCACATATCTATAAAAGTTTTACATCAGTAAATGTGATGTCAAAGATTAGACTTGAGCATGTCTCAGTTTGACATCACAAACTGAGACATGAAAACTGAAATACATGAAAATAAACATAACTCTGAGCTCCAGATTAAAATCTTTCCCTTCTGCCAAACTTTGGAGCACAGCAATTAACTTATCATTAAGATATCATCATTCCATAATTATTGTGTAGATAACACTTATATCACAAAGCCCTGAAAAGAGGAAAGCATCACAAAAATGTGAAATGAAGAGACTTTGTACTCACCTCGGAGCGTTTAGCCTCGGTGGCTTTTATATTATTGTGCTTCGAAGGTCTGGAATTGATGTCAGTGATGGAGGGTTTGGTGTTCTGTACCTGGAGCTTGCCGAGCTGCAGAGTCAGAAGACGAAACATGAGCTATAAATGATACAATAAAAATAATGAAAGAAATAATGCACACTATTGACACAGCACTTGACCCCCAAACACTCATCACATGGAATTATTCATTACTTCCATCAAATGACACTATTTCACACTTTCACATGTATTGACACATCATAGAATTATAGCGTTCGGTTTTCTGAGTTGAAAGATAATACATTTCAAATTCTGACTGTACATAATAATAGTGATTTGTATTCATTCCATATTTAAATTTATAGCAGCTACTATTATTATTATTATACAACACAAAAAACAAGTTACAAAGTGCCTCATATAACCCCATAAAACAGATTAAAGTTATACAACATGCAGCAAACACTAACTGGATAAAAAAAAAAAACATATGTAAAAGTGTGTAAAACAATCAAAACAAATATTAAAAGTTAAAATAAATGGGCTATGGACAAAGAGGAGAGAATGAATTCCAATTGGATAAAATAATTATAATATCAGTCAACATTGACTTTAGTCTGGGTCTGGGACCTTTTCGCTACTTGTCAATGTCAGCTTTATTTTTATAGCACATATCCAAAAACACCAGCTACCCAAAGTGCTTCACGTCCACAGAAGACGTAGCTATCTTATCATCATTCCATAAATCTTGTGTAGAGACTATTTTTATAACTTGTCAACGTGTCAACTGTTAAATATATCAATTGCAACATTCTCTGTGTAAGAAGCACTGTAAGAGGAGCAATACTCACTGCATGTCCTTGCATTTGTTTTGATGGCACCTTTTGAACAGTCTGAAACAAAGTAAGATATAATGGTTATATCACATAGTAAGTAGTAAGTAAGTAAGTAAGTCATGTTTATTTATATAGCGCATTTTACAGACCAAGGTCACCCAAAGCGCTTTACAATGTTCATAGGCCATAAAAAAGACAGCTTTACAAACATGTGAAATAAAGAGAATTGATACTTACCCCAGTGCTGTTAATCATGATGGCCCTTGTATTATTGAGCCCCGACCGTCTGGAAAAGATGGCAGCGATGGAGGGTTTGGTGCCCTGTACCTGGAGCTGGACAAGCTGCAGAGTCAGAAGAAGAAAAAGTTGCTTCATGTTGCAAACTTCTCTCTCATCAATGTGCTGATGTGAGATGTCACACCTTTATATATACAGTAGGTCCGATTCCGTTTTGTCGCCTTTCACGCGTGAATCACACGTGAGTCTCGTGTGATTCACGCGTCTTTTATTTTCCCCCCTCCCAGTGATGCTGCAATGACCAAAACAACCACCAGGTGGCACTTGTGAGCAGGGTTACATTGGCGAGTTTCTGCCCCGCACACAATGACAATCTGTCATTGATCCATGCTCCCAGCAGACTCGAACGAACACGAAGTGGAACGTGAAGTTTAATGTAAGTAACTTTTCAATTGTTTTTCATGTGACAGTATATTCATTATTGTCTTTGGGTTGTGTTGCATTGTACACATTCGTCGTCATTGCGTCATTGTGACGCTGATTGCGTCACATCAGCGTCGGCTAACATTATATTTTTAGATGCTAGGTATTTTTTCTCCTGCGTCAAAATGGAACTGAGAGATATTCAACTTTTCGTCACATGAAACAAGGCATAGCCTATGCTATGTTATCTAACGCTGGTTTAAAACTCAATTGAATATTAGTTTAGCGTTAATCGGACTAATTTCCATCCGCGGGAAATAAGGCACATGGTGTTTGCTAGCTTAGTTAAACAAGTTAACCATTTGAAAATAACTAAATAATTTATTTTCTCATTTTCCTTGGAAGTAACACAAGGCTACGCAATGTAAGCAAATAAGTATAATACAGCTCGGAAACTTGTGTTGAAACAATCGCGTCAAATACTACAGTTCCCATCATGCTTTTGCTTTGTCACGTGTCCTCCTCAAACAACAACAAGCACAGGCATGCCTGTGCTTTATTTAGCAAAGAGTTTGGTCTCGTTTCTCAAACGTAAATCTGGGCTGTGTACAGAGGACTGCGTGCTTCGGTATGTACAAACGACGCTGCGCGTGATTTGATTCATAGCGTAGTTAATGTTGTAGCGTAGCTTCTTCTGAGGCCAGTTTTCATTACTTTCATGACTGTCTTTCTTATATCGCTATGCACTCCACTAAACATGGCTGATACTTAGTTATTATTGCTTAACAAGTAGATACGTCTTTCCGTTTTTTTCGTTTGGAGACTGAAAATATATCCCAAAGCATTTATGTTCCCCACGTGCAACGAAAATTGTATGAATTATTTGTGAATTTAGACAATTAAATAATAATTATGTGAACATTGTGAAATTAATCACAAGTAATGTAATGTTACAGACTTGTTTTCTCTTCTACCCGAAGCTGAAAACACACGTGAGTATGGCTCTCCGTTTTCAAATGGCATATATTTTGATTGTTTTAACGTTCTATCAGCGAAATTCATCCTGTGATTTGATAGGGGCTTAGATACATCGATATGTAGTGAAACAAACGCTGTGTAAACGACTTTTTAGTAAAAGTCGTTTACAGCTGGCGTGTGAGATGGACCAACATGCTATGTAACGCTACCAACAGTGATTCATTTTAAATATATAGTACTTTTTCAGTGAAGTGCATGCATAGGGATATTATTAAGTTTGACCCATAAGTTTGACCGCGTTTTCCTTGAAGCAACCGAGCGCGTTGATTTGGACTTAATGGTGCAAGCACTTAATGGTGCAAGCACTTAATGGTGCAAGCACTGACCTCACGGACGCTACTAAATTCTATACAATATGAAATTACTTATTCAACTTTGTACCAACTCCTGGGTTCGAAATTAGATTTTGGGGAAAATGTTACGTACACGCGTAATGCATGAATGAATACGTGGTCATAATCCCTCCAGAAATGTATTAAGTTTCTCATATTTGCTCGTGGAAAGATAGTAACATTATGTACTAGTAGAAAAGAGAAATTACTTTTCATTTATGTGTGTGGGTTCTCATGCATGTAGCCTCATTATTAATAATTTTACATATGGTCTTATCTCTTGATTTCTAATGGTGAAAGTAATTTAATACCAATACAAAGTCAGAGATTTCCATAATTTAAATATGATAATTTTGTGTGGGTTTTTTTCAAACAGTATTTGACGTTATTACTTGGTAGTCATTTAACAACGTCTTCCCTTTTTCTCCCCAGACCCATCCTTGAGCCTTTATCTTTCGATATCTAATGGTGAAAGGAATTCAATACTTATACAAATTCAGAGATTTCCATCATTTTTCAAGTAAGATATTTTAGTGTGGGTTTTGATCTGTTTTTGATGTTATTATTTGGTAGTCATGTAACAACGTTTTCTCTTTCTCTCCCCAGACCCATCCTTGCACTTTTTGTTCACTTCCTCATTTACATCTACTTTTGATTAATAATCAAAATGGAGCATAAATGGGATGAAATGTTTCTCCTCCTCACAGAGAACATTTATCCTGAGGGAATGAATAAATTTCAAAGAGACAACTGGAGGAAGTACTCCCTTAAGTTTACAGTAAAGGGTAATAATGCATTTGCTAGTATGGTTATACATGTCTTATTCTTCTTCTGTTGTTTTCATATAAATTATTTTTTATAGATGGTGAGCTGTTCTATGGCAAAAGAAGAGCCATTAAAACCAGACATGAGGCGCAGAAACTATTTCAAGAGTTTCATGCTACGCCCATGGGAGGCCACACTGGGATGAAAAAAACCCGACATGCCATTTGTTCCAGGTTTTACTGGCGTGGCATGACTGTGATGATTGACAATTGGGTATGTGATATTATTTGTCTGTACAATTCCCTTCCCTAAAGCCTGTTCGTTTTAAGATTGCTGAGTGTGACCAATGTCAACGTGAGGGAAAGACTCTGGGTACAGTTGCACCACTCCAAACAATAAAGGTAATTGTATTGTTACTATTCAACCACCAATGTACATTTATGCATTACAATCCTGTTGGCATGTTAGGTGTCTGCTGTTTGGGAGCTGCTGGGGATTGACCTAACTGGGCCCTTCCCCAAAACTACTGATGGCTATCAGTACATATTTACAGCCACTGATTATTTTTCAAAGTGGGTAGAGGCTTTCCCATTGAAAACCAAGACGGCTGCGGAGGTTGGGCAAAGACTTTGCTCTATAATATACAGGCATGGGTGCCCGAAACGGATCCTGTCTGATCAAGGGCGGGATTTTGTAAATGAGGTGAATATTGCTTTTTGTAGTTGTTACTTTTTTTTGTTCATACTTTCTTATTCATTTAATTTTCATTGTTTTAGCTCAATGATTCTCTGTGCTCTCTGCTGGGCATTGAGAGAAGCGTCACCGCTGCGTACCACCCACAGACTAATGGGTTGGACGAAAAGACCAACCACAACATCAAGAGGCAAGAAAGATATGTATAATTTAATCATGTGAAGCACACATTAAATATATGACTGATGGCAAACCCTACATGTTTTAATTTCCCCCATTTAAACAATGTTTGGAATGTCTTTCTCAGAGCTTTGATGAAGTTGGTGAATGAGCAGCAGAACAACTGGGACACATTCCTTGATGCCACACTGTTCTCTTTGAGGTCAAAGGTGCACATCTCAACCAAACACACCCCATTCCAGTTGATGTATGGGCGGGAGGCTGTGTTCCCCTCAGAGGTGCCTGTAGATTATCCTGTAAGTTCCATTCGTTCAATTGTTGGGTTACACAGAGGGGGAAGAAGCTGGACAAGGTCATCAGTAAGTTCAGCTCAGTCATGGGCTGTTCCCAGTGCAGCAGGTGGGGGACCATGACTGTCACCCCCTGCAGGACACTCTGCTCTGGAGAGCAGCTTCAGTGAGAGCTATTCATCCTCTATGTGTGAAGAAGAGGTTGCACAGGTCTTTCCTTCCTGCCGCTGTCAGACTGTACTGTGAGAACTGCTGAGCCTGTACATGTCATCTCGTCTGTAAATAAGTAGTAAGTAAATACTGTAACAATCACATTTTCCCACTGTGGGACAAATTATACCTTATTTTATTTAGGAGACAATCATGGCACTTTCTTGACCCACCAATCAAAGCTTTTGGAGGATTTGAAGAAGGGAAAAATAGCAGATTCACCAGGTAGGGATAGTAATGTCAGTAATATTTGTTACTTTGCATCTAACGTTTTTCCAATGCTTTTAGGACACTGCCAAATGTGACAGCTACACACCAATGGAACTTGAGAGTGAGAAGGTGCTTGACATACAAACAGAACAGGTATGTCTAGTAGTAAATATTACAATTTATTGTATTTTCATTATAAATTAAAACTTTTGTGTTTCCTTAGAGCAATGAGGTAGGAGGGAGTTTTTACATGGAAAAAGTCTTGAAGCGGACTATAGTGTCACTGATTGTCACACGCAAGTCAAAACATTTCTCTTGTAACCAAATTCATTGTTTTCTCAGGGTATGCCCCATTGTACAAAGAAGAGCTAAATGAACAACTGATTGCCTAAAGATGTGCAGAAACCCGTCTCCGAGCACCAGACATCACAGCTGAAGCGTTATTCTTTGTAATAATTAAGAATACAAATCCTGTTAACATTGAAACTTTTTTTTGCAGGCTTTTTTGGGCAGGAATGCACTTGAATGAAAATGTCAAACGTGGGCAAGATTCTTCAAAGGGGCAGTCTTTATTCAAAGTTCCAACCCAAAGTACAACAAAGGAAAGCAAACAGCAAAGCCAACACTTGGTAAAGAAATAATACTGTACAAACATTACAGTACAATAACTTAATAATATATTATTACAGAGGCTGACCAGGACAGAAAGCCAACGCACTGGCCTTCAGGATCTGTGAACTCTTCGCGTATCCTGAGCACATCACATGCAGGAATGACCTGGCTCCCAGTCGTCCCGAGCACCAGCTAACCAACTCCACAAATCTGAGACTCCTGTGGAATTGGACACGTATGTTAATTATTGTAATTTGCTGTTTGCGTAGTGTACTGAAATGTTTTGTCCCTTTGTCTGTTTCATGGTGTGACGACGAGACCATTTGCACCTGCAAATGAATTGATTTCTGAAAATGAAGTCTCCACGCTCTTTCAACATTATCAATATATTTATTTGACAGGGACAATGCAGACACAGTCATAAACAAAGCTTGCAGCTGATGTGATGAATGTAGTTTATAGCAGATGCCAATTCACAACTCCTGTCCCTGGTTGGGCCTAACCAATCAAAGTCAATACAATTCCTACATTTCTAAAAATACACTTAGTTTACAGCCTACAGACTTGATTGATCCACACAAAAAAACTACAAACGTGTTTTCTCTTGTATTTAAAGCTTGACATCAATGCGGGAACTTTACATCCTTCAGCAGGAAAATCTACACAAATTCAATTCAATACCACAGCCCATTTTTTATGCACAACCTAACATAAAACCCATGAAAAAACCTTTGATTGGTTCCAATTTAAATGTTACTCACCAGTGTTGTTCATTTCTTTAATAGAAAGGATGCACCCGATCTTTCATCTGGGAAACTAGTCAAAATTCATCAATCCACGAATGAATTACATTTCAAAGGACAACATGGCCATGGCATGTAATCTCTGTGGTTACTGGTGATAATAATCCTGTGGTTGTTGTCATGGATCAGCTGCAGCAGAGTCTTGACAGTAAAAGTTGCACTATATATCCAAATGGCCATATTTTTTTTTTTGCAACTTCGAATTCATCCCATGAAAATTATTAACTGAACTGACAGAAAAGTGTGCAGTCCACAAGCTGTGCTGCTGCAGGTGATCGCTGCATTAAATTACATTTATTATTTCCATTATCAACATTCATCCAGTTGTAAGCTGTAGAGTTGCCACAGGACGCTTCATCAGCCTACGTCAGCTGCCAGGACTGCTATCATAACATAAGCATAGTGGTTTCATAGGTGCAGTTGACTGCTTAAACTAAACTTTACCCGAAAGTTTGACTCTTAAAACCCACATGTGCCAACACGGAACCATCAACATCTCGCCTCAAATTGCATTAAAAGTGACATTCGTGTCTTATTTCGTTCGTATTATAACTTTTAAAGGAATTCACGGACTTTCTGTCCGCCATCTTGGTTTGTTTCGGCTGCCGTGAGACGCGCATGCGCGCAGGTTTGCATTACATCATTAACAGCTGAGCATTACATAAGCGTCACTTTTTGGCAGAGCGTTACAACTCGGCAGAACACCGGCACAAAATGAAGATCCTGGTCGTTTGTTCTTCCTCTGATGAAGAACCTGTGGATGTCTCTATTGTTCTCGACAGCAAGGAGATTGTGACTGGATGTGGAAATACTGCAAAGGCATGTGCACTGCTAATGGGTCTAATATATTCCCTCAATCTTGCTTATCCTACAACACTACGATACACCTTCGAAGTATTTCAGAAGATTTTCTTACATTTAGATGCATTTAAGCCATCCCCGAAAATACAAACACTGAAAGTCAAGCTACTGTCCAAAACATAAGAGAAGCAATTTTGTTCAGCATAAGAGAAAAGGCCACAGATTTTATATAATTTGATGTTGTTACTTTAGCTTAGACTCTAGCTTAGACTAGAATATGAAAATTAGTCATTAAAACATGGACATGTTAAATTAATTGACTATTCTTGAATCTAGTAACTCCTCATGTAACAGTGTTTTAATTAGGGAAAATGTGAAAGAGCTCGGCCACTTCTAAAATTACCTCGGTCTGGAGCCATTGAGATTTACTGCGAGAGTCTAATGCTACAACATCCTGGTCTTTAGCTGAACAGAGGCTCAAAGACCAGGCAGGTGCATCATCTCATCTAAGCTAATGACATTTAATTATAGAAAATCAATGGCCTATCTCTATACCATTCCCATTGCATCCTTTTTGTGATAATTAAGTTTTCTGTTGTCATGTGTTCTGCTTTTAAGGTCAGCTTTAGTTCATCTTTTAGTTTTCATTGTTGATGTGTGAACTTAAAAGTTTGTCAATAAAACAGGTTGTTAAATGTTGATATTTGCATATTGTTTTTTCTTATTAATTCAATAATAATGTAATTGTTACACACATATAGTACTTAATAAGTATTATTGCAATGATATGAAATATACTGATAAAATATAAATAACATTTATTCAAGTTATCCATTATTGTAAATGATCTGTACACATAATGGTTACTCAGTATATCTATTTCACACATAAATAACCTAAAAAAAATCACATAAACCTTACTTGATTATTTTATGTGATCAAGTAAAAAAAATCACATTTGTTAAGTAAGGTTTACTTACAAATAACATTCAGATTATACTTGATGAAATAAAAAGTTTTACTTGATTTATAGTAGTAATCTTTAATTATATCTTCGTGCAAATACTTACGAGGATTTTTTTAAGTAAATG